TAAGCCTTTAGACGTCTTTTGAATGTACTTTTATGGGGAAATAATACTTAATTCGAAGGGCACTTTTCGTTTGATTATGCGCTATTTGTTATGATTTATATAGGAAATTCGCCTCGCGCGCAGTGTCTGTTGAAGAAAACTGGCACTAGAACCTTATGCGCAGGTCTTTGACTCCAGTTACCTCCAGATTTGAAGTCTTCGTGAAATTTGGCGCATTTTGATAGCAAATTCGTGTTTATTTGTGGCGATTTAGGAAGGGCAAAATGTGCGCAAAGATGTGGGTTTTGCTTGTGTTTACAAGCTCATTAATAATTCAATTGAACTCGGCTGTAGAAGATGGCGAAGGGACGTCTTAGACTCAATATCTCCCTTATATGTCTTTATATGTTGTATATACCAGAATCCAGATAAGTGTTGAACAATTGTAATGATTTTGCGTTGCCGTTTAGTAAAATGTACTTTTTAGTTATTCTGCCTCATTATAATTGAAGTTTATGCTTGGGAAATCTCGAAGCGTGGGCTTTGGTCTCTCCGCCATATAATAGTAATAATATTAAATAATGAACTTTATTTAAAGAAGGTATTACAAAACCAGTTCAGCATAGCTAATCTTACACCGAGCCTAAGATGGAGCGTCTATAACTTCACATTAAGCGACTGGACACTAGTTTGAGCAAATGTTCATTCATATAGGGCGAAAGTTTGATATGTATCACTGCCCTTTGTGCGTACGGAGAGGATAAAAGGGATGAAACTAAACAAGCTGAAACAGCACTTTGAGACATTGCATTGGAAGCCTAGGGTCATATATTTAGGTAAGAACACACGGGGGGTGAACTGAATAATAATGTAAGTACATTTTTAGAGCTGACTGCATGAGTACTAACAAAATACAAAACAAATGTACTCCAAAGATCAATAACATTTTTATATTTATCTACGTTTCGACTATATTTCACTATTTCAGTCATCATCAGGATAAACTAAACGATGATGACTGAAATATATAGTCGAAACGTAGATAAATATAAAAATGTTACCGATCTTTGGAGTTACTATGCATGTATATGCATTTTATCTTTTGGGCATATGTATACAGGCGTTTCGACAACAATTATCTCATAACGTAATCACAAGCTAGCACGTCATGCTAAGACATGTTTTGTGACCTTTGTTGTGGGATTAAGGTGTTCCAGTAAGGTAAAGGTTATATGTCCAGTGTATTGTCCTGTCACGTTTACACACGGTATCACTCATATTTTTTAATCAAGAAAGCCATCGATCACGTTTCACCGAGGGGGTACGTCACGGTAGAAATCTCGTACACTCAACCCAGAAATCAAATTAGAAATCAGGAACTCATGAGCTAGAAATCGCTTGGAATTATTTCGAAAATTAATTCGAAAAATATTTCGAAATCTTAATGAAAATGGCTTAAAAAGTGGTATTGGAGAAACGAGCTTGTCTCATTTTCCCGTATTTCCATATTTCATAATTACGACAATATTTTGTCTTTAAATTACTCCAAAGTTTCGTATTTTTCAAGGCAACAAAATTTACCAAAACTGCAGTAACTCACGACATTTTAAATATTGATAGAAAAACCTTCCATCTCCTCAACCTCAGGGTCAAAGACAGACAAGATCGTGCATATAACCCCAACTCGCGCACAAATATAAAATTCTGACATGCAAGACGTCGTGAAAATCTTACAAAATCCGAACAACAAGAATATGGAACACCACTATACCTAATCGTATTACATTTTCAGAATTCAAGAATCTTCTTTAAAAAAGTACTATATTTTAGCATTATGCAAATACCATGCATGCAGGATGCTGAGGACCCCGCACATGGAAAAGTGCGTGTATAAAATGTAATTCCACTCGTATTTAACGAATTCTTCATTGACATGCTCTTTTTAGACAGAATGCTGCAATGTGACTGTAAGACTGTTTGTTTATTGTGTGTGTTTAGTATACCTTGTAAATTGCTTTCGTATATAACTGTTGGGGCCGCTGTAATTGCTGCTGCAAATCTTGAAACCAGTGTTGAAAGCAGTAATCACCCTTCTGCGTCATCCCATCACGTATACAAGAAAATTGTTTCGCTTTCCTGATCGACTTTATATCACTATCCTATAGGACTTATAGATGTATTGCGAACGAAGCGAGTCAGTTTCGCATAAGAGTAAACCAATTAGGCCAGGGTCAAACGTCGAACTGTTCATGTGTCGAACCTAATGTTAATAAGCTAAGTTCTTTGTTTCACTTCATTTGCATTAGGCAGATGAAAAGTTCCACGTTTGACCGTGGCCTTAGCCTTTCTATGCACGATGACGAATATCCGCCATGTTTGGGTGGCATCTAATAATTAAAACAATGTGAAAAGCAATTTTCAAAATAAACTAGCCATTTACAAAGCAAATTTACCATCATTCGTCAAAAAAATTATAAATATATAGTCGCTGTTATGTTATAACACTTATCTCGCAGACTATCTCGCCACCCAAAAATGGCGGTGTGAGAAAGGGGTCTTAAATGCATGTATGAAACAATTAACAAAATGGTGCCCGACTATTTTTCAAGCAAATTCACACCAACTTCACACTCTGATTCAAAGCTTTTTGTCCCAGCAAGACCTTTGACTGAGTCTCTTAAGAAAAGTTTTACGTATAGAAGAACCGTCCTTTGGAATACGGCCGATCGAAGCTGTAAATGCCACATCTGTAGTTGATTTCAAAAATATTATTGGACAATCCTACTTTTCTTCTGTTCTTCAGTGTTCAGTATTGTGATCCTTAGTTGTAATTTATAATTGTAACAGTATTATGTAGATATTTTTAATGTGCACGGCTCCATGGAAGAGCACATTTTGTGAAATGGACTCCGTGTGGAAATAAAGTTTTAATAATAATAATTCGTAAAATAAAGTGATAATAAAAAAATTATATTCATCGCTATTTTATTTATTAACTTTACAACCATAGCGATTGATACACCGGGTGGAAAGCGTAATTTAAAAATGAAAATTAAAACCCAGCAAATGACTTTCAGACAAGACATAACAAAATATAAAATTTATTGGCTAACGTTTCGTTGTATTGTTCACAACCATACATAAAAATGATAAAATAGACTAAAACACTACATAATATGGTTGAAGGTATGGTCAACAGGACATGGATAGCCCCATGTGAAGACCAACCTTAATGAAAACAAACTATAACAAACATAAATCAAAGACGATAACAAATATAAAATTTACAGAAAACATGACGAATTACGAACAGCAGCTTAAGTTGAAAGAGCGGCACTTAGAACAGAAGGTTTTCCAAGTGCGCATTCTGTTTACATCGAAAGATGAATGAAGTAGAGAAGAGTAATGAACAGTTAGTCTGTTTTTAAATTAAATTTAATAAGTACGGTCGCGGTCACATGCGCTTGTGGGTCACATACCATCGTGTTTAAATAAATGCTTCTATTATTATTATTACATGCACTGGATATAACACAAAGCTTGTGCTAGAATGTGTGTGTGTGTGCGGACATGTTGTTGTCGGATTACTAGGTCCCATGTACGCCCATGACGCACTTGTGGTCACAACTGTCACATGAGATGCAAGCCATGGCATCACGTACGAAATCAAACTGTATATCTGGAATTGTTAATTTCCCCTACATAAGGGGTGGAGTGGTGCAATTGGTTTATCACACTTCTGTGTTGTTGTCACTGATAAAATCATCAATTTTTCACTGTATTTGTGTTTTACACTAGGAGTCCTTGTGTCGCATCGACTTTCCCCCGAACTATCTCGATAATTGTTGAAACGTCAGCCATAGCACCAATACCTATCAATAAATAAGAAATTCGTAAAGCTCAGTGAATTGAGCCGTGTTTACACTACGAGACTAAGCCTGGAGTAGGCCTAGCTTTGGACTAGATTTTTATAGTGTAAACGCAGTTTTTCCTGGCCTATAGGCCAGGAAACCTAGGCCACCTGTTCTGATGGGCCCAGATTTCCTGGCCTATAGGCCAGGCAGAAGTGCGTTTACACTATCTAGTGGATTTTTCTTCCGGCAGAAAGTGTTTTTACTATAACTTCGGATCTATTTCATTGACAGTTTGTCCAAGATTGTTGCTTTGTAGGTATGTAATTTTATACGATTTGATTCTGCCAGACTTACCACAATCGCCACACGCCAGGGTTTTGGAGATCGGAGGAATTTGAATGTATTTTAAAGACTGAAGTTTTTCAAGCTGTTCTTGTGTCAATGGATGTTGCCACATGTGAGTGTTCATTGCTGGGCAGTAGTAGAATGGTTTCGATGGATCCCAGGCTCTCGCTACGCTTGTCTAAAAAACATATGGTGTAATATATATTATGATCGAAATAAGTTTATGGAGTAAAAGTCATACAACGGTTTTCTCCCCAAGGAACAGATGACCAAAAGAAATAACGTACCAGGCCTCAATGAAGAACAGTTTAGGACTAGCTTATTCTGCTATCATGAACTATATTAAAAAGTTGGTTTAGATTTATAATACCATGGTGCATCAATTAAGGCTCATGGTTTTTCCCTTACCAATAAGTTATCACATATTCCATGAGAAAGTTTAGCCATAGTATTAGCATCAAGAGGTGCGATAAGAAACAGATCTGCCCATCTTCGCAACTAAAACGACATTATATAATTATATTTAATTATTCTCGTATGATGTATTAGGGTGCATGGTACCTTAATAGTTAATGAATGGTTATAAAAAGAATGAATGTATCATACAATCATACATAATGCAAATTGAACTCCTACCTCTATATGAAGAACAGGGTCTCCTATCTTTTTCCAAGTCTGTAAAAAATCACGTAAATAAGTATGAGGACAGAGCCATGGAAATCTGCACGTTGGGAATTTAATTCAAGCAGGGCTGCTCAGTGAAGTTTGGGGGCCCAGGACAAATTATAAGTTTGGGTCCTTAGTTGATTCTCCAACATCAAAGATCTTTGGGGTCATGTGCTCTTGTGCAGTTGTGCTGATTTACATATCCTTGAACTCTTATAACAATCAGCTGGATCATCTTCTTTAATTACATTTAAATAATATTCTCAATACACATTAAGGACATAAAATCCTGAAATGTAAGCTTTTAGGAATGACAAATTCCTCCATTCTGGGAAACTATTTGACTCTAATATCTTTGCTACTGGGTCGTTCCAGAAAAGATCCACACTCCTCCCCTGAAGACATTCCTGCTGTCTGCATGGGGAGAAAGGAAAATGTACTTAGTCTTCCTGATAACAGCAAAATGTACTATAGGGTGTCCAAAAGGGTCTGGGGTAGATTGGAGCGCCTTTACCTTTGGGCCTGGGGAATTGTCTCCTCAGCCCTTGGATGTAATGACTATAATCAAACACTGACCTGCCACTCATCTTTATCTTCATAAATTTGACAAGGAATTGAGGTTCGGTCGAAGAAATGAAATGAATTCTGGGTGGCAATCACCCTGACACTAACCTTTATTTAATTAAACAATGTAATTCATATTTGGTAAATATTAACTCACAATGCACTCTAATGTACGGCATTCCCTAGATTTTACTCTCTCTATCGTCATGAGATGATATTACTCATTGAGGGAAAAAAGTTGGACATTAGTATGTATTTGGGTACACCTGCTGATATTACTTGTTAAATTAACCGACAATGATGCCCAATGCAATTTGCTTTATTATTTTATTCAGTCTAAAATACCAGATCACAGATGGCATAAAAACACTGTATGTTTACTTTCAAGTTATATATTTATCCTTTATACAGTATATTATGCTACTCATCAAATAGTAAAAATAGTTCCCACATTTTTTAGAAATATGAAATCAAGATGCCATTTTAGTCACATGTGATTGGCTAATCCAAAACTCAAAATCAACCAATGAACTGAAAACTTAAACAACCAATGAGAAACCGCATATAATTTCGGAGAACAACCAATCAGAAAAGACCTCATTCGCCTTTCGTGTAACACACGCACAGCCCACGAAATATCACACACGCCACGTTATATTTTTAACACAGCTATTAAGTCTTTAGCTTTTAACAAATCGTAAATATAAACAACTTAAAACAAACCTTGGGGATTTCTAGTAGTTTCTCAACAAGAATGGGAAGTTTTATTGAAGCTACACTTCCAGTAACGCCAGCTAGAATATTTATATTTTGTTTGTTGTCATTGCCAGTCGCCATATTACAGTGGGTCACAGACCTCCTTTCGGTGTACACGGTCTGTTGGGCTCTGGAGAAACTATAGCCTTTTTGAAGAATTTTAACATAACTTTTTTGGGAACAAACGACACTGGCAGAATTTAATAAATTAGTTTCATTATATGCAGTATCAGTTATATTTCATGCTGATAGATAAAATTCTTTCCATAAGATAATTTTCTTTCCATTACTTTAGGATTATTTATCATTACTGTTTTACCAGTACCACAGATGATTTCTGAGAATCACCCTGCATAATCTATTGCAGCCATGGTATAAAGATACCGAAGTAATACAAACACGAAATACACAAGGTGTGTTTAGAAAAACATTTATTCACTTTCTGTTCTACACTGTATTTACAAAATCCAACTTTCGCTAAATAAAACATCAATTGTCTGTCTCCATCTGTTCCACATCTTTCATGATTTGTGAGATCTTCTGACCCGCTGATTTCTTCAAAGCTTTTGGAGAAACAAAAGTGTGATGATTTTAGTTTGTTAAATAAGAAGATAGTAACACATTGATTCCTATGAATAACACTTTGCAGTGCATTGAATCAAGTGATTAAAGTATTCCATTGTTTTGAAGATCCCACCATTCTCTCCTTGCCATCCAGTCACATATTTTTGGAGTTGATGCAAAGGGACTGTTCACACATGTACATTAAAAAAATAAATACCTGGCTTTGGTTTTATTAGATTTATATTTGTCTGGACTTCCTTCAAATCTGCTTCTTCTTCTAGCTTTTTGCTTGTTTTTAATCTAATATTGAAGAAAGTATTTCAGTCTGTAATTATCCACACAGACAAAGAATCAATACGTTTCTCTTCTCAACAGTATTCTCAGGTTTCATATGATATCACATGGTGGTCAAGGGTCTGTATCAAGGGGTCTGTATCAAGGCTTGACCTCAGTTCAATGATTGCCCCCACCTGAGTCAAATTATGCTAAAATATCACCTGATTGAAACCCAAGAATAGTGAATACAAAAACTTAATTTGCTTCCACATTTTTTAATGTACCTGTTTCGGACGAACTGTTTCTGTCGTTTTTCTTGTATTTCTGTTATCCTCTTCATAGCAGCAACTATTTGACCAAAGTTAAATGATAATCATATACAAGGCCCAAGGTAAGAGGTTTATAATGGGTAGGTTTATAATGGCAAGCTTTTGTTGGATGCAACTACCTGACAAATCTCTACCAATGAAAGCTTGTTATCATTGGCACTACCTACACTGGCACAGACAACACTTTACAATGGGTAGGTTTAACTCATCAATGTGCAAGACTCTCCCCTTGATGCATAAAATCGTCTAGTGTTAGACAGAGTAAAATATAAATAACGTTGGACGCATAGGTAAATTTGTTGGCAGATACTGTAGAGTGATTCTAGTCGCAGAAAGATAACATAAAAATCAACAATCTACAGTACCTGTCTGTTTAATGCTTTCATTCGAATAGCGTACTGGGACGTCTCTCTTCTTTTCAAAGTCAAATGTTGCATCCTAATAAAATGGGTTAGTATTCATTTCATGAATGAGAAATAATAGTTAATTACAAGCACAGCCAAAATTTGTTTTACTCACAACAGCCAGTTCTTTGCCGGCAGCCTTTCTGAAGGCTTTTGTCCATCTCACTTTTCTTGGATTTCGTTTTCTCTTGAAAGCTTTGTGACACTTTGCACGGCAGAACCGAAACACCTGTCAAAGTTTAGCAAATTACAGTATAGTCCAACTATGGTATAAAATATACACCTTGTTTTTGTGTATCTGACATCAGTTAAGGTCCACATCTGAATCACAAAAACAAGGCTCTATAGTCTATACTGCAGGTGGTGTGCAACTGCACATCACCGTCGCCATGTTGGATGACGTTGACAAAGGATTTTGCTTGTTTGCAATGCAAATATCATCCAACATGGTGAAAATCTCTTTGTCCTTATTGCACCATCACAATGGCAAATCAAGTAACTAGCCCCTGGCTGTGGTTAATTTGTCCTTACGGTATACAATTCATTTCATACCAAAATATTAATTAATACTATTTTTAAACAACTTTGGGAACTCCATATAAAAGAGACAAGCACAATAATAAGTTACTTTTTTTAGTTTTTTACAGATCACATTTTATATGCATATGACAATTTTTAAAATATTAAACTTTCCTTGATATCATGTCAGTGAACACATTGGTATAAATGGTATCGAAGGTACTAGACTTAGTTCCGAAATACCACACACATCAACAGACTTGGCCTCGTAGCTCAGTTGGCAGAGCATTGGACTAGTATCCCAAAGGTCGCGGGTTCGATTCCCACCGTGGTCAGCCTGCCACAGAGTGACATCAAAAACATTTCCTTGATATTGCCAAAGGAATATAAATTTTTTCAAACAAATCTACCACAATACCTTACAGTCGTTTCGCACAAATGCGATACCGTGACCGGGCCAAACGGTCGATGAACAAAAGTAACATTTTTCTAAACGCATTTTGTGTTATTTTGAAGAAAATTTCACAAAAATATTGAAACTCTACCATGTGAAATTTTCTAAATGGAAAAGAATTGACGCCTTCACACCTTGGAAAATATGGGTCAGAGGTATGTGCAAAAATAGTGGGTAAGTACTTCATATAAGACTCAAAACTGAATTTTTAAAAACCAAGTTGTAAACAAAATTCGGACTCATATAGACACATTTTTATGTGACTTAGCAGACATTGATTTTTCTTACTGTAAATACTTTCAAACGACTTTATTTTTCTTCAACAGTCGTTTAAATTTTGAAAAATTAAAATAACGGAAGTTGTTAGAGCCTTCGCACATATTGTTGGTCTTCCAGCGGTCATAAAAAGACGGCCCAGTCCCCTCAATGCATCGTCATCTCTCTACCAAAAAGATCATAAAACGACAAAACGTGGTTTCAAAATCAAGTTTGGACGAGAATTTTAGAAAATCTACGCATAAGGTTTGTTCTTGTTCACTGAAGATTCAAGATGGCGGATGCTGGTGATGAATATGAGGAATATAACTGCGACGAATCTGTACACGCCGGTTCCCACGCGAGGAAGGGAAAGTCGAAGAAAGAAGCTGATCAGAACAGACATCAACATGGCTATCCTGGACATGAAAGAAAAATTGCGGACAAGATTGGAAATGCCGAAGATAAACGAAAGGAAGAACGGAAAGGCCAAACAGATAAATGAAAATAGAAATTTATAGGAAACTTGATATTTAATAGCACTTTAATTCGGGAGGGACACTACAAGACACAACTGTTTAGAAGAAGGTCAAAGGCTAATTCAAGAAAAACACTTTTTTGCCTATTTCAAGAACAGTTTCAGCTGGATATGGCTTGAATTTTTAGTGAATAAACGATGATAGATATGAAACTAAATTACCGATATGTGATTATTAAATAATAATATACTACATTTTGTTCAGTTCTAATATTTAATCGATATTTAATGATTGATAGTATTTGTTGGTGAGCGTTTCAATTTGTAGCACATTTAGAGTTGGAACAACGTATATAAAAACTTGGACAATCAGTCGACATTATTTACAGCATATTCTAGTGTCTTCTGTATTCAAGACACGGCAATATTTTTATCTTATTTCATCAAAATAAGGAATTGATATTAGACGTTCAAGAACGATGATACCATCAAGAAACAAAGAGATACCAGTTGAATACGAACACTAATGAGTAATGGCCGGAAGGAACGATGTGAGAGCACTCTTATATGACCTTATATTGTTATAAGAGTACTGCTGTCTGTTTGAGGCTTCGATGAAGAATTCAGTTGAAGAATTAAGAATTTTTAAATTATCGGAAATTATTGGTCTGTGATAGTCTGGAAGCCAGACAAACCTCAAAGCACCAGAATAGAAGGCTTTTGTTTCATATTAAACTGTACCGCGCCATGCACGTACAAATCTTTCGTCTCAACTTCATTAAATATTATTCATCGTGGTTCACACGTTGGATGATTACTTCATTATACAAAAAACACAATGAGCTCAATCACCGTGACGCCGTGTTCAAATTAACGCAAACTCAGATAAAAACAACGCAATGACTTATGTTTAGTTTCCAGTTCCATCTTGACATACAATGCCTGAGCCAGTTTCAAAACTTGTTGGGCTGCTGTCCTCTGGAACTACAGTAATAATAACACCTTAGCGCTCTCGATATGCCAGCAGCAGAAATATAAAATGCTCTAGAGGCTTTTCCCCTCTTTGGCTTTATACAGCACGTGTATTATTTATTCAGGTTTTATTTTCTAAGTGCATAAAGTTTATCATCAACGAGAATACAATTTTAGTTGAGTTTCTCACTCCGCATTGGTGAGCGGATTTCCCAACAAGCTAATTATTTTAGCATTTATGTAAAGGACTATATCAAGTTATTTTGTAATTAAGACCTTTTAAGTTTATTTTTATTTACAAAAAACAAAAACAAAAATGTGTTTATTTTTTTCATATCAGAATATCAGATGCCTGCGTGACGTCATTAGTCCTTTGTAAACCCTCTCCCCAGTTTTCTTGTTTGCTGCGCGGTTTCGACACATGTGAGTCATGGCGGATTGGGGTGAGCAAAAAAGTTTATTATTTTCTCAAAATTTTATATTATTTTTCAACTATTTGAATAAAAAAATATATTATTGGATAGTTTATGATGTACTTTGTCCGTTTTTAGACGATTACGGCTTCAGAAACTTTAATATTTTGTCGAAATTTAATGTTATTTATGCTTTGAAAACGTATAGTATTTGAAAGTTTATGACATGTTTGTTTTCAGACGACGAGGGCTTTGAGCCCGGAGAAATAACGGAGAAGAAAGGTGATGCATGGGAAGGAGAAGATGAAGACGATAATGAATTGAAAGTATGATTTAATTTACTTTTATTTCATCCATAGTCTTTGAAACTGATTTGTGTCTTACTTTTGTTTATTTGAAATGCTTTAATAAATCTCAAGTTAATTACGTCTGATGTTGCCTAAATTATATTTAATATTGTATACCGAGTTTCAAATATAGTTTAAATAACCTATATTTGGAGCTAATTAGTAGGCATGAATCATACTATATTTGTATTGTTTGTACAGTAAATGCTTGCATAATTATTTTTTGGCCCTCATAAAATGATCTGTGTTATGTTCTGTGTGCCATATGGTAAGTATTATGCGACTTGATTGTCACTTGATTATAGACATAAAACACACGTCTCCTTTGATGCCTAAATCATCTGCTGTTAGACAGAGTAAAATGATTAAAAGCTTGATGCATTACTACCTCCTTGAAATATTTAAATAATAATAATATTTTACTCTGTTTAACACCAGATGATTTTACTCGTCAAGGGGAGAGCACTTGGCACTGGTTTTCCGACCCTACCTAGCTTTTGGCTACTGAAATCGCCAACTCTAATCTTTTTATATGAAGTCTCTGGCATTAGTTTTGTATTATCTATATAAATTTTAAAAAATCCGACCTATCCTACCTAAGTTTTTGCAATGAGAAATAGGAAACCCAGGTATTTCTTTTTTTTGCCTAATGGGTTAAAAAATTTTGTTTGACTTTCAGGAAAATTGGGATGATGAAGAGGATCAGGAAAAAGATAAACCTGTTGAAACAGGTTTGGGACTTTTTGTAACCAATGATTGCTGTATCTTTGTATTGTGTGTTTCCACTTCCAGCAGGTGTACACCTTTTGGAAAATCTGATCAATCTGCCTACAAATAACTACTAACTATACTTTAACTAAACCATAAATGCCAGATGGAAGTGATTCCATTCAGCCTGTTATTCACCAGATTCTCCACCTATTTGTTTCCTCTTTCTCACTATACATGTTTATGCACATGTGGATTTAGAACAAAAATACTCTGCTGGTCTGTAGGATAATTTTTGTCCCCAAGTGTGCTCCTAGGGAGAAAATTATTTTTTCCTGCCCTGCCTTTATTAGGCCTATAAGAATACTTGTGGTTCCAGTTTCCCAACCGACCCTATTTTTTTGCCAAAATGGTGTCTGTTGTCACAATAATTATTGAAGCAATATTAAAAAAAAAATTATTTCCGACCTACCTACCCTAATTTTTTCACGATATGAAACCGGAACCACAAGTATTTTTTTAGGCCTTACTCCCTGCTGTGTCTGATAAAGGTATTCTAATATCTATGCTGTTTCTCTAGAATCAAATGCAGCAACTGTAGTAGTAAAGAAGAAGAAATCGACAGTGAAGCAGAAGATTTTGGAGAAAGAAGAAAAACGGAAAGAGGAGATGTTGAAAAAGGCAGAAATGAAAGAACAAGAAGATGATGAAGATGATGATGAGGTGATGTAGAAAACTTTAGCAGATCTGTTTTCCATTATCTCTTGATTTCCAGCACCTGTCTAATAATTTCATGTTGATGTAGGAATCCATATTTGCCTCAACGTTGGCAGACAAACTAAAAAACCAAAAGTATGTAAAACATAAGTTATTTTTGCTTATGGTAATAAATAGTTTTGTGAATTTTTTTCTGTGTTGGTGTTGTGTACTCAGGTGAATAATATGTTTGCGATGTTACTCTGAGTGCATATCCAGACCGAGCGAGCTTGAAAAATTTGCCCGGCCACGGTGGGATTCGAACCTACAACCTTTGGAATACTAGCCCAATAATAGTTTTGTTTTGTGAACGATTCTATGTTTTCCTCTAAGTGGAAACACTTACAAGCGTGATCCAATAAAAAAGTTTAGGGTTGGGATTTTGGCGTCCAAAAGCTAGGTAGGGTTGGGAAACCGGAAACCCACATATTTTTTTATTTCCTTCCACAAGGCATTTTGACAGGAGGGGTTGGGGTTAGCCCTAAATTGACCTTTCCCTACTCCGTGATCAGACATGAGTCATAAGGGCCCTTGGAAAGCTTTCAACTCAATCGGGTTGAGCTGCATTTTTTATTCAACTTTGCTCTCAGCTCAAGTAAAGGGTGATCTACAAAGCCCCACTTACTTACCACTTATTTAAATTAATGATATGAAATTTGTTTCCAAATTTTATTTCCAAAAGAATGAAAAAGTTGGATGAAATGTCCTTACGAAATAATTGACTAAAAATTATATATATTTCTATTGTTGCAGATTACAAGAAGAATCCGACTTAAAAGTTGCAGAAGATTTATTTGGTAAGTAGTCAGGGGCAGACCATTAGAAAACTGATGGAGGGATTTGGGAAAAGAAAAAAATTTGTGCAAAGAAGAAAGCAAAGAAAAAATAGTTTAAATTCTTCAATATTTATTCCAGCAGAAGAGATGCCATTCAGTTCTCATGCATGTCCTTTACAACTTCTGTGACATGAATTTGATATTAAATGGCTTGTGAAATTTTCTTCAGTTTCAAGTTGTCTGTACATGTACTTTCTTTTGAGACAACATTTGTCTCTCAACAAATGGGAAAATGATGAGGATAGTGACTCTAATTGATTCACATATTGTATTGACATATGACCGTTGACATTGCTTTTTGTCTCCAATATATACTGTAAATAATGACTGGTCCCTTATCTGTCTACATAGGTGGAGGAAATATAGACGAAACAACCAAAAGTATAGATACATTCAAACCAACAAACAAAGATGAATTTAATGAATTGGCAAAAATGTTAGCTGATAAATTATCGCAATTTGAGGTATGTGATTCACTTGGCCATCTCTATACTGTACTGTATATGAGAGTATGTAGTACTACCAGTATACTCACGGCCCAAACACATTTTAAATTATATATGTATATCTGAGATGCAAGTAATAATAAGATTGCTGAATGTTTTGTAGACATCTGTAGAATATCCTGGATTTTTAGAAGTATTATTAAGAGATTTAGCCAGTGGAAGTAAGTTTCACATTTTACTTTTTTTTTCAAAGTTCATATCACATGTACCTTAGGGCCTGTTTATATGGAAGCCGGGCTGGCCCGCTTAGCGAGATAGCCCAGTAAGCGTGATGAATTTCTCTTGTGTTTTTATGAGAAAATTACATCATCCCACTTGCCGGGACAATTTTGTTACATTGATGTTGTTTTGATAGTTGTTAAAAATGGCTTGCAGCGGTACCTTTGAACTTTCATCCCGGCAACTGGGCTAGCCCGCTTGTGAGTGTTTATATGGAGAAATTTTCATCCCGGTAAGCGAGATCTTGTTTCTTTCAAGTGAGATCTTGGCAACCGGGCCAGCCCACTTGTCCATATAAACACACAATAATTTTTACTATAAAATTAACTACACAGCGAGATCTCGCTTACCGGGTTGTCTTGCTAAGCGGGCCAGCCTGGCTTATATATAAACAGGCCCTTAGAGTGAGGTTGAACAGTTTGTTGGTCGAGCAGTTTGCACTTAGAATTCAGGCAATTATCCCCTCCCACTGTCGACATTAATTTTGGAAAATATACATGTAGATTAAGGAAAAAATATTGGGAGTTGGGCAGTTCAACGAACATCAGGCAAATTCTCGATCAACTGAAATGTATTTGTGTTTACATTCACCTCCAGTGTACAAAAATTATGAAACAAATTTTTCTTATTGAACAATTAATTTTCTCTTTAGTGGAAGCAGAAGAGGTTAAAAAGTTAGCAAGTGTATTAAATATTTTAGGTTCAGAAAAACAAAAGGCCCAAAAGGTATAATTATTCTAACAATTGAAGTTTTACTTTTAAATTCCATTAATGATGGGGAGAGGGGGGTTTCAGCTTGCACAAGTTTATTATTCAGCAAGCCTGGTTGTGCTGAAATTGTTTGTGGAATTTTAAAAATATTTTTCCTTGCTTTACTCTTTGCATGAATTTTTTTCTTTTGTGCTAACTTTTTTGTCCCTGCCCCATCACTTTTCTAATGGTCCGTCCCTTAACTGGTTATGCTGCATTCCACCCAAGTGTGCCCCACTTTATTTTACTCTGTTTGATGCCAGATGATTTTACTTGTCAAGGGGAGAGAGAGTTTTGCACATTAATAGGTTCATTATTTACCTTTTCCTTTTAGGCTGGCAAACCCAAGAAAAAAATCAAGAAGGCAGTGTTAGGTGGTGGTGCTAAAGGAACAAAGGGTGTCGATATACAAGATTATGGCGATGTATATGATGATTTCATGTAGGGAATTCAAATATATCCATATATTTTGGTGGAGAATAATATCAGTGGCTGGATACATCCTGGCTTATATTTATTGGAAATGACTTCGCATTCTTAGAAATTTATTGAAAATCAATGCAATCAAAGTATGGCTTGGTGCGTAGGTATTGAAATAATTATTAGCAAAACAAACATTTTGACTGCAACAGTCATATATAAAACAATTGTACATGAAGTATCAGCATGAATACTTGCTCAATTTTGATTATGTAAGGAATGTTAAAGTGCATGTATTTACGCTTAGAATAAGGCCAGACTTTAGTGCACAAAGTGCACAGGTGGATCTATTTGGGGGGGGGGGGGGGCAGAGGTATCCAACACCCCTTTGGAAATAACATATTAAGTTGAGGTTTCCCTCTTTTAGCTAGCCATCCAGGTGATCTGAAGGTGAGCAAAAGGACTGGGACTAGCAAGAGAACAGAAATCCAGTTTCGTACCTTTAATCACTTGTCACGCCCTGATTCTTTTGTGAAACTGTTTGAACAGAG